ATAAATAAATAAACAAACATGAGAATCTCAAGGACATATTCACAGTCTACCTGAGAGGATGAGAAAAGCACAACAGTTTTTCTTGGTGCCACTGACCTGTCTTCATAGGGGAACAAAGGGCTCTGGGGACCTTCTTACTATCCCCTCAACTCCTACCCATGCCCAAGTCTGAGATGATGAGAAGAAAGATTACAGAGTCATCCCATTCTCTCTAGGTGAAGTTCCTCATGATGCTTCCCTAGGTTCACAGACACACTTAGGAGCTATACCTGCCTCCAGGGATTTATATTCCAGGGTGGCTCAATCAGCTTCTCATCCTGCCAGGAGCTCAGTCCTGGACCTAACAGAGAGCCAAGTCTTTCCCTTCATATAAGAAAATTGCTTTCTAAAAATGTAGGCCCTGAGAGGCATCCCAGGATCAGGGGGCAGAGAGATAGCCTGTGTTCTGGAAAGGAGAGGTATGCAAAGAGAAGATCTAGAGGCTTCCTGACCCCTTCTGTCCTTTCCCATACCCAGATATACTCCTGGCCAGAGTGAGCGGGGTTTCCAGGAGGTCCTGCCTTGCTTGTTAAGACACTCTCCACATTAGCTAGACAAGCAGAGTTGGCATTAATTTGCAGATAAGTAGTCTTGACGAATATACTCTGTCTCCAGCTGCCACAATGTGAGCTCCTATCTGGGACCCCTGGGCAGCCCAGGCAGAGCTGCTGCTAACAGAGCATATGTTCATGATAGTATCTCCAACAATAAGATTCTGATGCTAACACAGGTACAAACTGGGGAAGGAGGCATACTTTAAAGGAACAGTCATACGGAGATGGGAGAAATTAGAGCCGTTACAAGTTCAGCACCTTCTTGGGGCATGCCTGAATAACTGTGCTCTTGTCTCCCTCACCAGGTCAGGAACCTTTAAAGGTACATATGAGTCTGCTGCTCTTGTACAGAAGAGACAGTTAGTTGATAGCTGTCAGGCTAAATTTGAGTTCTCACAACTACTAAGCATCCTATTTTCCTACTTCAGAGAACAGAGGATGGCCACTTAAGGCTGTCAACAGACTAAAGTGACAGTAATAAAGTAGGGCTCCTCTTATAGGCTGAGCCAACAGAAAAGCCTCCTTAGGGGAGCTGAGGCTAGGTCTCGGAGGTCTGGGTCACCCTGAGTCCATGAACTAAGGCCCAGGATCAGCTGAAAGGGTGGAGGTAGGCTGTTTCCCGAGTGACTGCCTTATCAGGAAGTAGGCTCTAGGCAGTAGTAGTTCTGCCAGTCTCCCAGGTCATGGGTGCTGTTCAAGCTAATGACATGGTCACCTCACTGGAAATCATGATCTTTCTATAACTCTCTCTTGTCCTGTCCATGGCTTCAGTATGTGGAGGCTGAAAGACGGACAGACGGGAAAGGATGACAAAGAGGCCAATTTATGCTGACTTTTTCTGTAGACCAAACTGAAGACACAACACGAACTATATCCTATCCTATTCTGTATCCCTCAAGGTTTTGAGTAGCAACTTTCAGAGTAATAGATAAGTGCTGATTTGAACTATGGGTCCTGAGATGCCTCTGGACAAAAGGAGGTTCTGTCCTCTTGGACTCATACCCCTTGCCCAGGATTCCAGTTCCCAGTGGACAAAATCCCCAGTTGCTGGAGACCTTCACCTGAAGAAGTATAGAGAGTATACTTCTCAGTGGAGTGTCTCAGGAGCCACCATCAAGGAACATAGTCTCTCAGTCCCTTCTAGGATCCCTGTCCCACACCCATCCCTACCCAGTCAGCTGGCTTTCTTCAGAGAATATTTTAAAATTTCAGTGCTTAGTGTATGGGGAGGCAGAGGGTACCAGACTGAGGGTACTCTATCAGGATGACCCAATGTCTGCCCCTCAAAACAATTTTAGGGTGCATAAGGGTTAGCACAGAATGGAAGCAGACTTCCTGTCTTCTTAACAGATGGGATGTAATGAGAGGAAAGGTGAACAACAAGCACAATCAAGGGGGTGAAGGTGGGGGCAGCAAAGCCTGTGGTGCTAAGATGGGGCAGGGGGCACTGGTGAGCTGCTAACCAGGCTTTTATGCTTTCCATGTGTCTTTTTTTTACCCCATCCAGAGGGGCAAATACATTCAGTGAGGTGAATCCATTCAGCCCTCACACCTGAGTTCAATAGATAGGTCCAGAACCATGCTGTTCTCCTGTGGTTCACACATGGTACTTGGGGGATATAGAAGATGGTATTATTTGGGTGTTCTCAGGGCCTTCCAAAGAATACCAGCCTGGAGGATTGTTTTTTTTATAAGGGATTATAAAGGAAAATGAAGTGTGTTGATTAGTTTTTATTGTCAACTTGATACACCCTAGAGTCATTTAGAAAGAGGGAACCTCAATTGACGAATTTCCCAGATCAGACTGGGCTATGGCCAAGTCTACGAGACACTGCCTTGAATGATGATTGATGTGGGAGGGCCCAGCCCACTGTAGATGGCACTATCCTTGACTTCCCTCAGTGATGGATTGTGACCTGGAAGAGTAAACCAAATAAACCCTTTCCTCCTCCAACTTGCTTTTGGTCAGTGTTTAATCACAGCAACAGCAAAGCAAATTAGAACATGGGGTGTCTATGGATGGCTAGAGGATAAAAAGGCACAGAAGCCTCATTGAGGGGCAGGATGGAGTGCAGGAAAGAAGTGGTAAGGCATCAACTGGATTTCTTTTTCGGTTGGGGGGGGTTGTATGTATGTGGTGCTACAAGGTCCTCCCACACGCTAGTCAAGTGCTCTATCACTTAGCTACACTCAACTCCTGCACTCTGTTCACATTTGGCCTAGAAGGCAGAGGATGGCAAAAATATGCCACTGGAAATACCACTAAGGCCAATCCTAGTCCAACCAGGCCTGGGACTCCCACTCTATAAGGGAATCAGGAGTTGTTGCACTGGGACAAGCAGACATAAGAGAACAAGTTCTCTTACCTAC